TGCCTTAGGTAAAGAGGTGGTAATATTTCTTGTAAGCAAACATGTGGATAGTTTACATTTGAGATCCTGATTGGCTTGATTCTTTGGCAGTTATTGTGGATACTGTGACATTTAAATATACAACTTTGGGTAAAACTCAGCTCATAAATGAGATCTATAGCCATAGTGTTGCTTTTGAGAAGAAAAAAAAAAATTATGTGCATTTTTCATCAAGGAAGGAAACCACAGGATTCAGAAATGCTTGTGAATAGAATCCACAATTTGAGAATTTGTATCACATTTTGCAGACTTTTGTCTGCAGGCAAATCAGTTTACATTCTAAGTGAATCATGCAAAAAAGATGGCATCTTTGTTTGGAAGCACTGAGTGTGAACAATTATTTTCCAAATTAAAGCAAACTAAGAACGATTTGGTGAACAAAATTAACTGATAATCATCTTAATATCTTGCTGTTGGTATCAACAAGTTTGAAGCCCGATATAGAGTGGCTTTCAAAAAAAAAAAAAAAAAAAAAAACATCAAGTTTCCCATGAATTTTTTGGCTGCTACGTATTTTTAATAATTTTTTTTTTCTGAACAAATGATTCCAACAATGTCTTAAATTGAATAAATGAAGTCTTGATTACTACATCCACCTGTGGTTAATAACAATTCCATTGTCATTAATACTCAACCCAACCTGTGATGGCAAAGTTGTTGACCCCTGATCTAAACCATAATTACTTTATTTCATTTTAACTTTTTGGTAAGTCAAAATATGTGCTGTCATAGAAGTAACAAAAATTTTAAGTTGGTGTTGAGGAGACCCCCCCAATAACCTCAACCTAACTTAGGCACAGGCACACACATATTATATATATATATATATATATATATATATATAAAAAGAACAGCAAGATATATAATCCGGTGTTCTTGTAGATATTTTTATTTTTACAAAATAGTGCTCAATGTTAATTTACAGAGCATTAATATTATAAATTGATTTAAAATGTTTTTTTGCTACACAGTTCTAACCATGTTTCAAAAATGGAAGCTAAAAGCCACAAATTTAATTTTGTGATTAAATTAAAGACATTAGTTCCATTTCATCCTCAAGCAAATTTTGGAGTAACTTTAAAATTACTGGGTTTTAAATATGTCTATAATTTAATGTATCAGTTATTGCTACGTTTGGGTCGTGGGAAGGGATGTATTTTTCAATGAAATACAACTTCCGTTAAAGCCTGTCGTCTAGATTTTTTAAAATTATATTGTTAATGGCTAAAATTCGTATGGCCTTTTTTTTCTTCTCGTATATTTAAAGTATATTATGATTTTTTTATATTTAAATATTTCTAAAGTAAAATTTTTCATTACTCCGATTTAGTAGACTTTATTTAATTACAAATTAAAAGAAGTTTAGGTTAGCATTCATTTTAATTAACTACAGTTTTAATTACAACTTTAAAATATTTTCATTATTAGTTTTTATAGCTTATATTTCATTTAATATAAGTAAAATGTTACTTACCATCAGTAAAATTATTTTTCTATATCAAGTATATTTATATTACAATTTAAAAATTTTTTTTTATATTTAAATATTTTTTAAGTAAAATTTTTTTTTATCTTTAGAGCAAATAGCTACTTCATTTCTCTATTTTAGTAAACTTTATTCAATTACAATTTAAAAGTTTAGTTTAGAATTCATTTTAATTAACTACAATTTTAATTACAACTTTAAAAAAAAGTAATAAGGAAAATATTTTAGACTATATTTCATTTAAAATGTATCAGTTCTTTAGCGTCAGTAAAATTATTTTTCTATATCAAGTATATTTATATTACGATTTTTTAATAAATTTTATATTTAAATATTTTTTAAGTAAAAATTTTTTTTTTTATCTTTACGACAAAATAGCTACTTCATTACTCTAATTTAGTAAACTTTATTTAATTACAATTTAAAAGAAATTTAGGTTAGAATTCATTTTAATTAAAACTTTAAAATATTTTCATTAGTTTTTTTTAGACTATATTTCATTTAATATAAGTAAAATGTATTAGAGTTACTTAAAGTAAGTGAAATTATTTTTCTACATCAAGTATTGCTATTTTAAAATTTTTATTTTTTTAAGTATTTTTTAAGTAAAAGTTTTTTTTTTTTTCATAGTTTACTTTCACTAGGAAAATGCTTGACTATTAATATTTCATGTTAAATATAAGTATGTATATTACCTGATCCTATTTTATAAAATTATTTTTATTTTTAAATATTATTTAAGGAAAATTTTAGACAATGACTGCATTCAATAGCGATTTCATTTCTCTGATTCAGTAAATTTTTATTTTTTTATAAACTTAGCAATATATAGTTTCTCATGTATGCACAAAGGACATGGTTCATTTAATGACCTACATATTCTAGCTTTTCTTATTAACTTCCATTTTACTGTAGGTGTTTTATTTGATTCTTTTAGGTGCCAGAAATATTTTGATAGGGATGTCTGATTTTTATATTTATTTATTCTAAATGAATTTTGATGTTGGTTGAATCTTCTTTTGAACTCATGGCTAGTGCAACCTATATATATTTTTATGTTTTCAGGACTTTCAATCGAATAGATATTGCATTGGTATACTACTGATTCAGCACAACATTTATTTTGAAGAGGGCAATTATGAGGGTTTCTACAATTACATAATTTTTGTTTATTTTTATCGGTTTTTATTTTTACACTGTCTAAATTTTTGGGGTTATGGTATAAGTGTTTAAGATATTAGTGAAGAGTAAGCGTTCTCAAAGCAAATTTGTGGCTTTCACAACACAAAAAAAGAGAATCACTTGTAACACGTCAGGAAAATAACTCACGAACGCCCGTAATAAAACTGCCCGAATTTTTTTTCTCCCGAGTCGACAACACCAACTGCTTTTATCGGCAGAACCTATTTTTTCCATTCGTCGACTTGTTTCTTTTTTGCTTGGGTTGACGAGGTAAGTCGCTATAAGAGTTTTGCTGACTACTTTTCTTTTTGGCAATCCCTCCCCGGCAGATCGCACACAAAACACGAACTTTTTTCCGGGGTACGTGATTATCTCGTTCACTACAATTAGCATTATGGTTCTTAATTTTTTCTAAGTTTTCCGTGCAGCTGTAACTCAATTTTAGTGTGTTTTTATTGAAAATAGTTTACTTTCACTAGGAAAATGCTTGACTATTAATGCAAGGAATTTTTGTCCTAATTTGTACTTTACCATTTGGTTGTCTGGGGGTGTATACCAAATTATTTTTCTACATCTGTTTTTCTTATGTCTTTCATTTTTGTGTGTGTGTTCCACTGAAATAAGTCACTTTCTAAACAAAAGAGACATTGGTGGCTTTTCACCAAAACAGTTGTAAGTAAATTTTTAATTTCATATTCATTTTTAAAATCATGCTGGCACAATGATACAACTGATTAATCCTCACTGGGTGTAAATTATTTGCTTCAAAACAATGAGATCTTGGTACACTGACTAAAGATGAACAATATCATTTAACAGATCACTACCAATGCATAGCTGCTGTTACATGCAATGAAGTAACCATCTAACTGCTACTTCAGTGACTGCTCAACTTTGGTATTGATGCAGAATGGCACCTTTTTGCTATATTTAATGGGAAAGAACCATGTAATGGATTAGGTGACACTATCAAGATATTAGCAGCAAAAGCGGGCATGCAAGTGGCCCTGTAATAAAGAAATAACAGGCACCAAGACAGTTGTTTGATTATGCAAGAAAAAAGCATTTCAGGCATAAATATTTTGTCAAACTAAATGAAGCAGAAATCTTAGAAAGATTAAAAAAAATGTTTCAACAATCACAGGTACTTAAAAATAAGGAAAATAGTTAAATTTATAAAACATGATAATACAGAGTTTGAAAAACTTAAGGCATTTGTTACAGCAATTATTGGCGATTAGGATGTGCCCCTGAAAAATATCCTGATAATGGAGGTAGAAATTGACATTTTCACAGCTGGATGGCCCCTAATTTATTTGGATAATCTCAGTTTAGTTGATCCAATAACTGACACTTGTAAAAAAAAAAAAAAAAAAAAAAAAAAAGGAAAAAGGAAAATGCTTTAAATATTTTAGGAAAGAGAATTTCTTGAAGTAACCTTAAAGACATGGTAAGGTTCAAGGTTGGTCATCACAAAAAAATTGATTGAAAAAGTAAGCAGTTTGTATATCCAAATTTTTATTTTCTATTTAAATGTATTCCAACAAGCAGAAAAATAAGTTTTCTTGTTTGTCTCCTTGTAAATGTTAACCTTTTTTGAGATATATATATATATATATATATATATATATATATATCACAAACCTGAAAATTTGATTGTTTTGCAAATGTAGTGTATCATGTCAACAAATGTTACACATTAACATCATTTGTTGCATAAAAAAATTAAAGATACACTTTGAGAAATTAAATGTCAAGGTCAAATGATCTTATTTGAGCTTTAAACTAAATAAATTGTTCACTATTTGGATTCAGCCAAGTTCTTTAAAATGGTATATAATTTAGTTTTGTGGGTGGGAAAAAGAAAGATATTGATATTTAAACTCTAGTATTTTTCAAAATTCACCTTTTTGGCAAGGGTTAAAAAGGTCATGTTTCTGACCTAGAGATACAAAATGAGCATCATTTAATTTCTATCTAGCAAATTTGAAGAAAAATCTGTCAGTGATGGTTGAACCCTTGCCGATTTGACACAGAATGACTTCATTTTAAGTCTTAGGTATCCACATAAAATACTTTACTGTTATTTTTCTAAAATCTGCTTTTGGAATAGAGGATTAAAAATGTTTTATATCTGTCAGCTACTTCAAAATTTCAGAGGGTCTGCTCTTTTAGCCAAAGAAATTCATAGCTCCGGGCAGTCCGAAAGTCGTGTCACTCCCTATCAAAAAGTAATGAGAACAATACACAAACAAGCAATACAGTAATACAAAGCACATTTACTGGATTCAGTTTATTCACTTTCACTAATGTTGAAAGTGACACGCGCCACATGTCTTTTGTCCATGTCGTTATCACTTAGTTCGTTGACGAGTGATGGTTTAAACAATTTCAAATCAAGATCCTGTGTCATGTGTGTCAACATTGTGGTTTTGGGAATTCCTAGCTCAGAAGACCGTTTTCGTAGTGACTTTTTGGGTGATTGTAGCACAGATGCCTTCACCTCTGCACACGTGTCCCTTCGTGTTGAGGGTCGTCCTGTCCTTGGTTTGTCTTTAATTGATCCTGTGAGAAACAGTTTATGTTCCCATCGCAATATCGTCCTCTTTGGAGGAGCTGGTTTGCCAAATCTTGCAGTGAAGTCATGTCGCACATCCTCCATGGTCCTGCCAGAATGCACACGGTCATGTGTCCATACACTTGCAAGCAGCCTCTCTTCCAAACTGTAGGAGCTTGTGTCAGCCATCTGAAACAGAAAATTATATTCTGTAGGAGTGACAAGACATTTAGACCAGCAGTTCACGGATTGCTAGGAAGTAGCCAACCTCTAAATTCAGTTTCTAACACTGTGGCAGTCACATATTTGTTGTTATATTTCATAGTTAAAAAAAAAAAAAAAAAACAAGCAAAGATAAGGAAAATGAAGCCTAACTGACTGACATACCTGGGCCAAATAAGACAATAACATGGCTCCAAAACAAAACATCTAGAAGGTAACTCATTGATTGAAAACTTGTTGCACATAATGGTGTTTTCCACAGTTAATTTCCTTCATTTCGTTTTGATGTCCTTTTTGGACAGCCAAGTCATCAAAGATTCAGGAAAACAGTTTGGCACTGGTTTGCTTTGAGAACTTTGTATTCTATGACCTGTTTAAATGTTACTGACGAATGGGAAATTTTCCCTATATGACAAAAACATGCGTTTTAAACAGCTGTGAGTGCTTTGAAACCAAAGCTGGGACAATAACAGGTGCTACCATCCCAGATCAGGGTGGACTTAGGAACACCTGTAATTAAGAGGTGGTTCCATGCTCATCAAAAACTCCTGATCAGAGGTCTTGCTGTTGGATGCTGTTTAATGTCTTACCCAGGACACAGATGTAGTTTAGTCATAAAAAAATGTTGGTGTTTGATGAATTATATTATGCTTTCCCAACTTTATGAAATTTAATCTCACTCTCAGTCTTATTAATTTCTTTATAATATATTTTCCATAAAGCATCATAAATGTAAAGGTGAAAGCTAAGTACAAAACAAAAACGGAGCGCTGAAAGCTTTCCTTAAAAATAACGAGGTAAATAATTTGTTCACTTAAATCTGAATAACTTCACATCTCTCCTTCCATAGAAGGAATTTTCCTCATGTGAGCTACCAAAACATCATGAATGTCTTTCGTCACCTTGTCAAGTGACGCGAAAGGTTATGACCAGATTTGTTTTATTTTCAAACTGTCTTCTCGGTGCAGAAACTAAGTTAAGCTAGGTTCAGAACATTTTCAATAAACATAATTTGATTTTCTTAAAGTTTTGAAAAATATTATAACTGATTTTTAAAAGAATTTCAAACTTGAAATTTTAATTTTTTTTTTTTTTTTTTTATAAATTTGAAAGAAATGGCTGACACGATTGATTATCTGTCAATTTTGCCGAAAAAAAAAAAAAAAAAAAAAACTCCCAAAATACTTTTATCTTTCCTCTTAATAAACATTTAGATGACAAAATTTTGTTTTCATCAAGTTTGGTGTCTTTTTTGTCATGCTATACTCTTTTTAGCAATCTCAAGATTGCTAACTATACTTAACGTAATTTGAAAGAAACATTACTTTTTCATCAGAAAAATTTAAGACATTTCCAACCGTGGTGCTTGAGGGGTATTAACTGATGTACGTCAATCTGTCAACAACTTACGTTGGTAATTTATTGGATGGTAGGGCAAAAGTGATAAATCAATTTAGCGTTCTAGCTTTAAGTGAACCAGTTATGTTTTTTTTTTTTTTTTTACACCTTACGTTTGAGGGAGAATTTTAGAATAAAAAATAACATTTAAGTTACAAAAAAATACACTCATAATTCAAATTTTATAAGAAAAATTTTGTAACAATATTGTTAATTTTATGTTCATTTTTAAAAAAAAAAAAAAAAAGTTCTATCTCAGCACAGCTGTTTGAGGGTTCCTAGCCCTACTAAACTTAAAGTCAGTTCAGGTTTGCTAAGTTTCTGTTTTTTAACCCAGGTGATGACGACAACACCTAGCAGAGGACTTTTTTTTTTTTACCCCGATTTTTGCCACATGACTTATGACAAAATCAAGCGTTTTAAACAGCTATCTTAGTTATGAGATATTTTTCTGAGAATTTTGTCCAAAGACCCCTTTTTTTGTTGTTTCCGTCCCTAATTTGAATTTGCAGTATGTCTCACCGGAAAAGAAATTGATTATATGTAAAAAACAAAATTAGAAAAGTTTCGACAATGAAAATTTGACATGTACCTCCAGAACAAAAAGCTAAGCCAAGATTGATAATTTCACTCAATCAGGGGGAATAACTAACCTTAAAAAAAAAAAAAAAAAAAAAAAGAAAATGGGCATCCATAGTTTTGTCGGAGAAGATTTTATTTTTTGAAAACAAATTTTTTTAAAATACGCTGCGAGTAACAGATCATAATAAGCTTTCTAATTTATGATCTATAAAAATAGATCTTTTTTAATGAGCGAAAAACATGAGGGGAAAACTGTTCAAATTTATTTATGAAACATTTCATTATCACTTTTTTAAAAATTATTATTTAGAACTGAAAAAAAAAAGAAAAAAATTCTTGTAAAAATTTATTTTTCAACTGACTTCAGACAAAAGTCCTTAATATATATTGATAAAATTAAGGACCTCCACTTTCTTTGGAACAAAATTCGTGATACCTAAAGTTTAAAATTAAATTTTAAAAATGAAAAATCTTTCTTGAATATTTCATTTTAGCTTTAATTGAAAGTTTAAATTTATTATTTCCATTAAGTAAAATATTCTGGAGTATTTCAGATAGAAATTATATAGAGTGGAATGTCAAATTTATTTTTGATTTAAAATTTTCTTAGAAGCGGCCATTTTCTTAATTTTATAAAACTTGTAAATAAAACAAGTTTTTCTATTTTAAAATTCATTCAAAAAATATTTGACACGTTACTTTAGTAAAATTAGAAAATTTAAAGTTAAATTAATCTGATTTGAAATAAATATTACTTACAAGATAAAAAAATAATCTACAACCAATTGGTCAGGTTCATTTGATGGACTGCTGATAGACGAAGCGATGACAGCTACTATGGATGATCCGATTGTCAAAAAAATTCTAAGTGGACACATATTTTTGGTTTTTAACTACCTAGTAGTAATTTTTACAAATGAACACATTTTCCGCAATTATTTAATATTTTATTGACTTACTTTTTGAAGATGCAAAAATAAAAAAAATTAAAATACTATAAAATTTTCTTCAATTAATTTTATAATTTAATAAATTAAATACCATGATTACTCAATTGAAGTCCCACACTAACGTAAATACATAAAAAATATTTAGCGAAATAGTAATTGGAAAAAGTAAAACTTAGTTTAAACTTCATCCCTTTAAAGCTGGATAGAAATTTTGAAAGCCTGTTGAAACGTAACTGAAGCGACATAAGAGAAAACTTTTAGATCATAATAATGGCAATTTCGGTCTACCGTACATGAAAATGAATGTATTAAATAAAATACAAAATAAAAAATTATTTTAAAAATAGAATATCACAACTAAGTTGAATAATCTTTTCAATTTTGGATTTGTACATTTTGTTTCCACTTAATTACTATATCACACCCAGGAAATAGCTCAATACAGAATTTTACACGATTTTAAGCTATTATAAATTATAATTAAATTTAAAAAAAAAATAAAAAGATTCTTGTAAAACTTCATTATTAATTAGAAAATTTTTTTTACTTCAGAAAATGTCCTTAATATTACTTATTTACAAAAGCAATTAAAAGCTTTTCTAATTAAGTAATTAGAGTATTTATTGGATTCATTATTTTTCATTTCAGAGCAGATTTTCAGTTAGATAGCTCAAATTTGAAAAAAAAAAAAAAAAAAAAAAATTTTGAAATGCTTTTAAAAATCAATTCTAATTTTTTCAAAACTTATTTTAAGAAAGTTAGAAATTATGTTTATTTCAGAGTTAGGGTTAGGTTTTTGTAATAATGTTCTTTTCAAAGTTCGTGCAAAGTTTGCGCATTAATCATTTGTTTTATTTTTAATTTAAAAGAAAAGCTTTATTTTATCATTTATGGGATTTTTTTTTTAAATTTAAAAAGAAAGCTTTTACTATAAGAAAATTGAAAAAAAAAAAAAAAAAAAAAAACAAAACTTATAATTGATTTCGACAACTTTGAAACTAAAATTTGTTCTTGTTAGTATTTCCTTTCTAGCTTTGCTTTCCGACAGTGCGCAATAATTTATACGAGTAAGAGCAGTAAAAGCAGATACATTTACAAGGAAATATGATGATTTGGGAAAGTTATAATACATTTTCTTTGCTGGGCTTGAAAAGCAAATTTACTCTTTCAACGGAAAAAACAGCATAGCGTAAATGAAAAATGCCACAAACTTAAAGAAAATAAAGTATTATCGTCAAAATGCTTATGTTATTATTAAGATGAAAGAAAGAAGTATTTTTTAATTATTTTTTGAAATTTTTTAATATTTTCTAACACGTTCGAAATTTTAGTTAAAGTCGTCTTTGTTTACGTCATCGCAGTGACGTTTAAAATAACATTGTTTTTTTTTTGGTTTTTTTTTTGCGTTTTTTTCCCCCCCCGGTTGAAAACATTGATTTGGAAATTCTTGTAAAAATAAAATAATTGTCCAATCTTAAAATTTTCAGGACTTATTCACAAATGAATGAAATTTTTGAAATATTTTGTTTAGAAAATTCTGGTAAAAAATATTTTTTTTAAATATGTTACCCCCCACTTAGTTAATTTCATGAAATTTCGCCCAAAACCTTTTTGGCTCCTCAATTTTATTTTTGTTAAAAGAAGGAGTCTTTGGAGATGGTAAATAACCTACTTTTTTTTTTTTTCAAATTTGAGCTACTTAACTGAAAATCTTGTCTGAATTGAAAAATAATGAATCCAATAAAACTATGATATTACTTGATTAGAAAAGCTTTTAATTGCTTTTGTAAATAAGTAATATTAAGGACATTGTCTGAAGAAATAACTTTTTTCTGATGAATAATTAATTTTTACAAGATTTTTTCGTTTTTTAAGAAATTTTAATTATAATAATTTATAATAGTTTATTAACATCGTGTAAAGCTCTGTATTAGGAGGAGGGCTCCTCAATATTATGTAGTAATTAAGTAGAAAAAAAAATTACGAGTCCAAAATTGCTAAGTTTAATAAATTTAGTTGCGCTACTTTTTTTTTAAAAATAATTTTTTATGTTGTATTTTTTTTTACTTAATACATTCCTTATTTCCATGTATGATATACAGAAATTGTCATTATTATAACAAGGTCACGTGATCTAAGGGTTTTGTCCCTTTGCGTGGCCTTTTCAAAACATTTCGTTTCTTACAAGTTGTATTTTCCGTTCAGCTTTAAAAGTGTAAACTTTAAATTTTTTTTTTTTTTCATTTACTGTTTCACTAAATAATTTTATTTTATGTATTGTATTTCCATTAGTGTGCGTCATACTCAAATAGAATAATTTTTTTTATAAACTCAGACTTAAAAATTATGTCATTTATGGTAATCAGTAAGTAGTAGCTGTCATCGACTCGTCAATCAACCATCATCAATAGATCGAACAGATGAACAGGACCGCTCGTTAATAATTGGTTGTATATTATTTTTTTTATGCTATAAGTAACAAAGATTTTTGAAATCAGATTACTTTAACTTTAAATTTAATTTTACTAAAATAATGTGTCAGAATTTTTTAAAAATATTTTAAAAATCGATAGATTTGTGTTTGTTTACAAATTTCATAAAATTAAAGAAAATGGCCGTTTTTAAGAAAATTTAAAAATTTGAAATTAAATTTGACAATCAAAATGTATATAGTTTCTATCTGAAATACAGTAGAATTGTTTAATTAATACTAGAAATCGTAAATTTAATTATTAAACTTTCAATTCAAAGCTAAAATGAAATGTTTTTTCGTTGTAAATAATTCATTTTAAACTTCAATATAGAAAATTTATGCCGAAATAGTGGGAGGTACCTAGCGAAAAGTTATATACTTTAACTTTATCCACTATTGCATTTCGAACGATAATTGTTCCTTTATTTAATTTCAATTAAAAGATCCAAAAGAAGAAAGTCATCTGTGGCCGTCAAAATTCGGAATACGAAGGCTATTAATGTTATTTTATCGTAACATTCACCTTAAAGTAAAAAAAAAAAAAAAAAAAAGTAAAAAACTAAAGGAAATAACACTGAAAAGTTCGTATTCTGTTCTTTCCGTGTGTGTTTGTCATGACGATAAAAGCTTTTAACGGTTTTTTGAAAAAACAAAAAACAAAAAAAACAAAAACAAACAAACAAAAGAAAAACAAAAGGAAATGACAAGTCCAACAATTTCTTCTGTAATTTTTTTTTTTTTTTAACTCAAGTATAACTTTCTTTCCAACTATAGATTTTATTTTGAAAAATCAATGTAGAAGTAATTTAAAGAAAAAGAGGACTCGGGTTTAAAAAAAAAAAAAAAAAAAAAAAAAAAAAGAAAGTGGGTCACAGGACAAGGTTAACACAAAAGGCGGACAAAATCCCAGACCCTTCTTAAATAAGTTGAAGAAAAGAGAAAAAAATTTCAACGAACTTTCAATTTAAATTTTAAACTTAAATTTTTTTTCACATAAAATCTCGTCTTAGGGGAATAGAAAAAAAAAACCCTTTTAAATGTGTGCCCTAGTAACAAGTTTAGAAAAAAAAAATACACAAATATATATAACTCCTGTTAAAAAAAAAAAAAAATTATTCCAAAGATATCATTAAAAAATTGGCGGAAACTTACCGTTTTAGAGAAGATATTGACAGTTTCACTTGGCTCCTGGTTACCCTAGTTTACTGGCCTAGATTATGGATAAATGCCCCAGTGACAAATTATCGAGGCCAGGAAACTTTCGTGCAGTAAACGAGGGTAACCGGAATCCAACTGAAACTGTTAATATCTCCAAAACGGTAATTACCGCCAAATTTTTAATTTTTTTTTTTTAGAATAATCGGGCTTTCTTACAACAGGAAAGATACATTTTTTTTCGTTTTAAATTTGTCACTAGAGCATTATCGGCAAATTTACCGATTCCCTAACTGAAATATCGAATATGTGATCGTACGTAACATTAGAAAACTTAGGTTTGATCGATTTTTACTAAAAATTTCTTTTGCAAACCGAACAAACTCGTGAAGTATCCGACAGAAATATAGACTATTATTACCGACCGCCATGAATTAATAATTGTAGCTTCCCCCACCTTTATTATCATCCACGATTATTCGACTTGCTAAGACACAGCATTCAGTTTATAAAACGAGACTCTTTTCAAAATGCAAAAATGACTTCTAAAAATAAAATACTTGAATGGTAGTTTTAATTTCATAAGAAGTGATAGCAAAATAGTACTTACAATATCTGTCGCCTTCAAACACTTTCCAGAGAAAATCTAGAGAGATATTTAAAAACCACCGCGCGAATACTTTTCTTAATCACGTTCAAATCTCACGAGAAGAGAGCAAACCGTTATTAAATATTTTTTCATGAAATACGGTTTTAAAATTGATCGTAGAAAACGTATAATATTTTTACAAAATTCCAAAATATTTTATTTCTAAATAAATAAAATAATACTAAAAAAAAAAAAAAAAAAACAGATATCGACCTGAATGAAAGTACGTACCGTGGTTCATTTCGTAAAAGCTGTTAAAAGGTCAAGGAAGTGCAACACGTGCGGGTTTTTTCATTCTCTTTCTAAATTCATGATATCCTGACCAATTTCTTTCGTTATTTTAGACATAGCTTTATGCCCAGCATTCTTTTTTTTTTTTTTTTTGTCACAATAATACCCAGAAGACGAACTGTCTTGTCAAACTCTCTGCTTCCGGGCAGAGAGGAACCCAGAGTCTCGTTTAGGGAGGTAGAGAAAAACCTGACCCTGTGTATATACAGTCTCGAAACACCCCACGTTAAAATTTGGCCTTGTGACACACCTTGCCTTGTTGGGAGTTCGTAAATATAGAGAGAACCTTATTGGTGATTTATTTAACTAATCAAAATAAAATTTTAAGAAATACAAAAGCTGCAGACCCTATAATTTTCGAGATCCCTGGGATCGGCGGAAATTATCTGAAATTCTCATTTTTCATTCTTAAATCTTCATACAGCTTCTGCTTATTATAAGGTTTGGTTATTTATGCTTTTGTTTTTTTTAATACACTTTGGAAGCGGAGTAAAAACATTATAAACCCACTAACATTTATACAAAAATACTCGTAAAAATGAGAAACAGCAAAACGTGGAAACAATGAGTATTACTTCTGGGTTTTGGTGTCAAATGTACATCAAATTATTCAACAAATGACTGAATCCGACAGGAGGATGAAGTAAAGAATAAGCAAAGTGTACACTGTACAGTCTTTCTCTTATGTCTTTTTAGATGTGTGTAATAATGAGTGTCCAGATGATTTGGAAAATTCTAGAAATTCACGATAAAAATTTTCTTACCTAGATGGCATGAAAAAGAAGAAACCAAAGATTAAATTTTCGTTGACACATATGTCCCTGTGAACTGCTTCAATTATTATATAATTATTTTTTACACTGATTTTTTATTTATTTCTTCAAGGTCACGACAGTTTAATTATTTCTTTTTTAATTTATATATTTCTTTATGGACACGACAAAGGCAAGAACTGATATCAAATCTTAGATTTTGCCTACATTCAGGAAAGGAAACGTAATCAAAAATCGTCATAAAATGCATACATAATCACAATTTTCATATGAAAATGGTTGTTACTATGTCCAACACTTCGCCAAAGAAAAACAGCATCCATAGCATGAAGAAAAAAGACCCCAAACTTGATAAAATATTTTTTTAACGTCTTAAATGTTTGTTACTATTAAGACGAAATACCAAAGTATTTTCTGAATATTTTTTCAGATTTTTTTAATCCTTCCTATAATGTTAAAAATTTTATTCAAAAATCGTTTTTGAGTCAAAAGTTCGATCATATCCTCCATTTTTCCAGATTTTGTAGACAAAATCAAAATTATCAGTTTAAAAAAAAACGTAAAATTCAGTTACACCCTTTTCTAAAGTTATTTTAGGAAAATTTAAGGTATACTTAATATAATTTGAAAGGAAACAGTACTTACTTTTTTATCAGAAAGTTTTTTAAGCCAGACATTTCCAACCGTGGTGCTTGGTTTTTTTTATTGAACCTTATTGATAGGTGTTACTGTACGTCAAGCAGTCGACAACTTACATCAGGGAAATTTATCGGATGGTAGGACAGAAGTGACATACTTTGTGCTAATTTTAAGTGAATCTGGTTAGTAAGATTTAAATAAAAAAAAATATACTTTCAAAATTTTTTTACTTTACGTTTGAGGGGCAATTCTGGAATAAAAATAACATTTATTCATTTAAACTACGAAAAAATACATTCATAATTCATATTTTATAAGACAAGTATTATTTCAAAATTTTGCATCCATATTTTTAATTTTGTGGGAGACGATTTTTAATACAATTTTGGAATAATAAAAAATTATTTTCGCATTGCAGATTTTAATAATCTTTCAAATTTATCTGTAAAAAGTAGATAAGATAAGAGCATTTTCATTAAGTCAGAGTAAGAAACTTAATTTTAAAATATATAACAACTTTTTATTATTATGTATTTAATTTAAAATAGCAAAAAAAATTTAATTTAATCTCTTTTATTTTCAATTTTAGAATATAAAAAATGCTTTATTTTTATTATCTAATTTGTTCTTTTAATTTGTCATTGCTATTCGAAACGGAAAAAAGGTTCTATTGTATTATTTAATTTGTTTTTGTTATCAAAAAAAAAAAAAAATTACATTTCTTTACGGTAGTGCGTAGTGATTTTCTGCAATGAAAGTCTGTAAAAGAAGTAAATAGGCCAAAGGCCAGCGCAAGTATCCCGCACCGAATCAGTATTCATGATGGCAGTAATAGGGGACGAATGACCAACAAGAAGTCCGATATTTTCTTGTCGATAACTCCAAAACGGTAGGTTTCTTCATAAATGTAATTGTTAATTCGAGTTCAGCAAGTACATTTGCACTGAATTATGACAATTTTGGAAAATTTTAAGGGATTTTTAGCGCTCGGGAAATAAAACCAAAATTTACCAAAAAAAAAAGTCACAGCTAAGTTTTCAAGTTTTCATGAAATTAAGTAGGGATGGGTAACAAATGTAAACAAAAAAAAATATTTTTACCATGACTTTCGAAAAAACAAACATTTTTAAAATAATTTCATTCACTTGTGAATAAGAAGTCCTGAAGATTTCATTAAAATCCGACAATTATTTGGTTTTTGCAAGAATTTCCAAATCAATGTGTTTTTTTCAACTGAAAAAAAAAAAAAAAAATCTTACGCGACCGCTGACCTAAAAAAAAAAAAAAGATTTTCAATTCAACCTAAATTTCAAACGTGCTGGAAAGAAAGAAAGAATTTTTTTAAATAATTAAAAAATACCTTGGTCTTTCCTCGTATTAATGAAATAAACTTTTTCACGATAAAACTTTGTTTTTAAGTTTGGGGCCTTTTTTTTTACTTAGTGCTATGCGGTTTTATGGCGAAAAGTTGGACATAAAACGCAAAAATAATGCAAATCTCCACTAGATCGCTTAAAAAAAGAATAGCACGATGATAAAAAATAACCTCAAACTCAATAAAAACAAAGTTTTGTCATCAAAATGTTTAAGACTAGGAAAGACCAAAGTATTTTTTAAATTATTTTTTGAAATTTTTTACTCCTTTCTAGCACGTTCGAAACTTTGGTTAAAAACCTTTTTCTTTTCTTTTTTTTTTTCTTTTTTTTTTTACGGCGACCTACAGAAAAAAAGATTTGTTTTATATTTTTACGCCTTTTCCAGGGAAAACACACCTTGATTTGGAAATTCTTACAAAATTCAAATAATTGTCGGATTTTAATGAAACTTTCATGACATTCAGTGATTCACAAATGAATGAAATTATTTTTGATGTTTTTTTTTTGTTTTTTCTTTTTAGAAAATCTTGGTAAAAATTATTTTTTTTTTTGCATATGTTACCAGTCACTTAATTTCATGAAATTTCGACAAATTAAGTTTTTAAGGTGTTTTTTTTTATTAGTTAAAAACAGGACACTTTGGAGAAAGTAAATCATCAATTCTTTTTTTTTTTTTAAAAAAAAACAAAAAAACAATTACCCGCTTGATCGAAAATCTGCTCTGAATTGTAAAATAAAAAATGCAATAAAACTATGACATTATTTAATTAGAAAAGTTTTTAATTTTTTTGTTAATAAAAGGACACTTTTGTCTGAAGAAATGAAATTTTTTGATGAATAATTAATTTTTACAAGAATTTTTCCTTTTTTTTTAAATTTTAAAATAGTTAAAAAATCGCTTTAAATCCATTGCTTTCAAGAATGAAATTTGGTGATATATCGTTAAGTGAAAAGTAAATTTACGGATCAAAATTTGAAAAGCTTATAACAGACGTTTGTATCCAAATATTTTTAAAATAATTTTTAGTGAAAAAAAAAAAAAACCCTTCCTAATTTCTACCTATGGGAATCTATAGATGACATAATCCTTAAAAAGGTCACGTGATTTAAGTATCATCTGACGCACTACAATTATTTAACTTTTAATTCAGTTCTGTTTCATCATTAATGTCTTTGCAAAGCATCCCTTCAAAATAGCAAAAAAAAAAAAAAAAATTTTAGTTTTCTTAATTGGCTATTTCACTAAATATTTTCATTTGATGTATTTATTTTAGTTTGGGTCATACTTCAATTCGTTTTTTGTTTAAGGTAGTAAACTTAAGAACCTAGAAACGAAATGCAAATTTCATAAAGCTTCTGAAAAACCTAACTAAAAGTCAATAAAATATTAAGTAATTGCTGAAAATATGTTATTTTGTAAAAATTACTAGGTAGTTAAAAACTAAAAAAAAAAAAAATGGGTTCACTTAGTTTTCGTAAATATGTCATTTCTGGTCACCCATAAGAGCTGTCATCACCTTAAGAGCTTTTCGATAAATCAATAAAGATCAAAGAGGAACCCATCATTAAGAAATGCTTGTATATTGGTTTTTTATGCTATAAGTAAGTAATATTTATTTTAAATCAAATTAATTCAACTTTAAATTTTCTAATTTTACTCAAATAACGTAAATCTATAATTTAATTTTTAAAGAATTTTAAACCTGATAAATTTGTTTACAAATTTCTTAAAAATTAAGAAAATAGCCACTTTTAAGAAAATTTTTAAAAAATCGTGCAAGTATGGAATTAACACATTAATTCCATCTATATTTTACGCGCGCGCGAGTTTCCTCCCTTCCTTTCACACTCGTGCGTGTGTGCGCACGGTTTTCACCCCTTCCTTCCTCTCACAGCTAGACGTAGCAGTAAGCTGGAGGAAGAACTTCGCTAGCTCCTACTGATGAAGTCAGACTAACAGATTTTGAATTTTTTCCCGCGCGTTTTTCGGCGTCTCAAACGGCCAGCGTTTGCA